TAGAGACGGGGTTTCACCATGTTGACCAGGATGGTCTCGATCTCTTGACCTCGTGATCCACCCGCCTCGGCCTCCCAAAGTGCTGGGATTACAGGCTTGAGCCACCGCGCCCGGCCCACTAGTTACTTCCTATATACTATTACATATTAGATTAGATCCACATTATTAGACATAGTACCAACTTTTAAATCATAAATCTCATCATTTAAATAAGTATGTTACTGGTATACAACTTCAAAAAACTGAAACTGCACACTGCCTCCTGAGGAAAGAATGCACTGGTGGAGCCATGTCTCCCAAGAAAACCGTGCCTGGGCCTACACAGAAAACTCACACCCTGAAGGGCATGAGATAAAGCAGCACACTGCTCCTTCAGGTAACAGTGCCTTGGCCAAGCTGAGGAGCTGTGCATTCCCGGGCAGAAGAATCGCTTGAACCTGGGAGGCAGAGGTCGCAGTGAGCTGAGATCGCACCACTGCGCTCCAGCCTGGGTGACAGAGCAAGATCCTGTCTCAAAAAAGGACTGTGAAAAGAGGCAAAAAAAAAAAAGGTCATTATATAGCGATAAAAAGATCGATTCAGCAAGGGGATATAACAATTCTAAATCTATAGGCACCTAACACCAGGGCACCCAGATATATAAAACAAATACTATTAGACCTAAAGAGAGAGATCAACTCCAATACAGTAACAGTTGGAGACTTCAACACCCATTCTCAGCACTGAACAGATGATCTAGGCAGAAAAGTCAAGAAAGGCACACTGGATTGAAACTACTTTAGACCAAATAGATCTAACAGACATTTACAGAACATGTCATCCAACAGCTGCAACAGGATACACATACTTTTCATCAGCACAGGAATCATTCTCTAGGATAGACCACATATTAAGCTATAAAACAATTATTAACAAATGTTTAAAAACAGAAATCATATCAAGCATCTTTCCTGACCACAAAGGAATAAAACTAGAAATCAGTAATAAGGAAAACTTTAGAAAGTGTACAAATACATAAAAATTAAACAACTTGCTTCTTAAAAACCAATGAGTCAATCAAGAAATTAAAAATGAAGTTTAAAAGCTCTTTGAAACAACTGAAAATAGAAAAACACAACATACCAAACACTATGGGATATAGCTAAGCCATATTAAGAGAGAAGTTTATAGCAACAAACATCTACATAGAAAAAGTAGAAAGATAAACAACATAACAATGCACCTCAAGAAACCAGTAAAGCAAGAACCAACCAAGCCCAAAATTAGAAGAAAAGAAATAATAAACAGCAGAGCAGAAATAGACAAAATTGAGACTTAAAAAATACAAAGAATCAACAAAATGAACAGTTGGTTTTTTGTAAAATCAACAAACCATTAACTAACTAGACAAGAAGAAAAAAGTACCCAAATAAAATCAGAAACAAAAAAGGAGACATTATAACTAATACCACAAAAAATACAAAGAATAATTAGAAACCATTACAAGAAACCACATATGCCAATAAATGGAAGAACCTAATGAAAATTAATAAATTCCTGGACAGATGCAACCTACCAAGACTGAAATAAGAACAGAAAACCTGAATGGACCAATCACAAGTAACACGATTGAATCAGTAATACAAAAGAAAAAAAGTCTCCCAACAAAGAAAAGCCAAGGAACTGATGGCTTCGCTGCTGAAATTTAACGAACACTTAAAAAAGAATACTAATTATTTTCAAACTCTTTCAGAAAACTGAAGAGGAGGAAATTCTTCCAAACAAGCTCTACAAGACTAGTGTTATTTTGCTACCAAAACCAGTCATAGGCACAACAATGAAAAAACAAAGGCTGGGTGTGGTGGCTCACATCTGTAATCCTAGCCCTTAGAGGGACTGAGGCAGGCAGATGGCTTGAAGCCTGGAGTTCGAGGGCAGCTTTGCGAACACAGTGAAACCCATCTCTACCAAAAGTACAAAAATTAGCAGAGCATGGTGGTGCGCACCTGTAATTCCAGCTACTCAGGAGGCTGGGACATGAGAATTGCTTGAATCCAGGAGGAGGAGGTTACAGTGAGCCAAGATCATGCCACTGCACTCCAGCCTCGGCAACAGAACAAGACTGTCTCCAAAACAAAAGAAAACTATAGGCCATATTCCTGAAGAATATAGATGCAAAACTCCTTCAAAAATCCAGCAGCACATTAGAAAGATCATTCCCAGGACTGAATGAGATTTATCCTAGAGATGCAAGTTCAACATCTGCAAACTAAAATACATGATACATCACATCCACAGAATGAAGGACAAAAGCCAGGCAATCATCTCAATAGACACAGACAAACCATTTGAGCCATTTGATAAAATTCAACATAACTTCAAGATTTTTTTTAAAAAACCCTCAGAAATTAAGGTACAGAAGGAGCACACATCAACACAATCAAGTCATACATGACAAACCCACAGTTAATATTATACTGAATGGGAAAAGCTAAAAGTTTTCCCTGTAAGAATGAGAACAATACTTCCTGATCACCAGGTAAAATAAATAATAAAAAAAAGACTAGAACAAGAAAAGACTGTCCACTCTCACCACTCTTATTCAATATAGTAATGGAAGTCTGAGCCAGAGCAATTAGGCAAGAGAAAAAAATTAAGGGCATCCAAATTGGAAAGGAGGAAGTCAAACTGTCCCTGTTTGTAGACAGCATAATCTTAAATATATAGGCAACCCTTAAAGTGCCACCGAAAACTCTTAGAATTCATAAACAAATTCAGAATAGTTGCAGGATATAAAATTAACATTCAAAAATCAGTTGTATGGCCGGGCGCGGTGGCTCACGCCTGTAATCCCAGCACTTTGGGAGGCCGAGGCGGGTGGATCACGAGGTCAAGAGATCGAGACCATCCTGGTCAACATGGTGAAACCCCGTCTC